ACAATATTTGTAGCTCAGGATTGAAATGAGGGGTTCTTGATCACCCAAACTACTGTATGTAACATCATCAATGCTTCCATCAAAGACCTGTAGACTTCAACTCCCAAAATTCCTCAGCCACCATCGCACAGGCCTTAAAGTTGCCAAGGTTGGCCCCCTCTGACGTGAACCAAAGTAACTGTACTTACAAACATGGTCTGCCTATGTCAGTGTGAGCCATTTGTAGCTTTGTGAAGCAAAAAATAGTAATGGCCCTTTAAAACTGTGCACTGTATTTAGCTTTAATACGTTTAGTTCTATCTAACGTGCACACATGTTAACACATACAGCGCGGCTATAGTATTATTTATCCTTTTTATTATCTTCTTCACTTCACACCCATTACTGGTACTACTACTACTACCGTATTATTCTCTCCATTGTTTTGCAAGTAGACCGAATGGTTCCGTACCCGGAGACAAATTCCTTATGTGTCTAAATCACATTTGCCCAAATGAAGTACTCAATTCAAATCAATTCAATTCAACGATAGCAGCTTTTTAACCCATTTGATCTCTGGTCTGGTTTAATCATTCAGGGCAGCAAAGATGAGTAACCAACGTGTCTCTTGTGTTCTGCTCCTTTCAGATCGCGAGAAGAGTGATAACTTCGCCGAGAAAAGGCCTCTCCTTGCTGTGTGCAAAAGCATCGGATCTTCTGGGTAAGATGATTACATCCAGAGGGCGGGGTTTGCTCTATGGCAGTGATGGCGAACCTTTTAGAGACCGAGTGCCCAAACTGCAACCCCAAACCCACTTATTTATCGCCGGGTGCCAGGTGGGCGTGCCCGTGGTGGGTATGGCAGACTGGGTGGGTGTGGCCAAGGTGGGCATGGTCACCTCGATGTTGCTAGTGGGGAGGGACGCCTGTGGGGGCCAGGCAGGGTTGGGGGAGTTCCAGGGGGTCTCTGGCAGGTGGGGCGGTGGGCAGGAGGCTCGTCCTACGGGGTGAGGTGAGGCAAGGCGAGGCAGGGTGGGGGTGCCATTGTCACAGGGCAAGGCGAGGCAGGGGCCGGGGCAACTGCTGCCTGACACCATCGGCCCCCGCACACAGAGGCCAGCGAGCGCATGGGGGCCGACAGTGTCCATCAGCAGCCACAGCCTTCCGGCCCCTTGACCGACACACTCTGGGGCTCCGCAGCCCGCCGCCAGCAGTTCAGAGAAGCCGCCTCTGAGCTGGATGGCCGGCCGACAGCTGAGGAGGCAATGCAGTGCCCGGGAAAAGGAGAGCATGCGAGGCCCGGAAGGATGGGACGGGAGGGAGGGAAACCAGCCATGCTGGGATGCATCCGGCCACGTGGGACCTCGGCGAGTTAGCAGGTGGCTACTTGAAGAGGGATGGTTGCCATCTCCGGGGCATGGCGCACGTGCCCACAAAGAGGGCTCTGAGTGCCGCCTCTGGCACGCGTGCCATAGATTCGCCACCACTGCTCTATGGCCTTGTTGGCTTGTTATAATAAAGACAGCAAGGAGCCCAGTTGAGCCTTAAAAGACTTAATTGGCTCATTGTGGCAGATCCTGTGTGGGCCAGACCGTGTTCCTGTCTGATGTAGAGTGTGAACCTCTGTCTGCAATGAATTTGGGACAGAGATTGCTCCTGTTTTGGTCTCCGAAATAACGTCTGCTTTCCTTCACAGTATATATATTTTTTTCTGAACAAATGTCACCATCCTCGCCCTTGTAATTAATTATGGTCTTTTCTACCCGTCTCCTATAACTTTTCTGGTTTCCGTAATCGTAGTTGCGGTAAAGATAGAAAATACTAGGTAGACTTCGACTTACGAACACACTTGAGCCCAAAATTTCAGTTGCGAAATGAGACAGTTGTGAAGTGAATTTGGCCCCATTTTACAATCTTTTTTTTTGGCCACAGTTGTTAAAGGGAAGTCCTGCCGTCGTTAAGTGAGCATCACGGGTTGTTAAGTGAATCTGGCTTCCCCATTGGGTTTGCTTGTCAGAAAGTCACAAACGGCGATCACATTTATGGCACTGCAACCGTCATAAGTACATGCCAGTTGCCGAGTGCCCAAATTTTGATCACGTGGCCACGGGGAGGCTGCCACGGTTGTAAGTGTGAAAAACGAACCCGAGTCTCTTTTTTTCAGTGACGCTGTGACTTTGAACTGTTGTAGATTGAGGACTAGCTGTGATTGTTTACATTTCTGCAAGAAATGAATTTTTTTTTTAAATTAAAATACCGGTTGGAGTCTGAAGAACCAATGTTTAGGAACAAATATCGTGGGTACCATAAAAAAAAAAAAAAAAACTGCAGCCCGCGAGCACATGAATCCCTGTTAAAAAAAAAAAATCTGCTCTCACGATAATCCAAGAAATTCAGTGCCAAGAAAACCCCAATTTTGTATCTCTTGTAGATGCAGAGTAAACAGGCGTCTATGAGTCAGTCTTATTCGCACAACTGCACATCTGCTTTTCGCAGAATGGAAGCAAAGAGTCATGCCGAA